AAAGCTGATTAGTATAGTAAAAAACGCAATCTTCCAGATGAAAACTGGAAAAGCTCCCAATAACGACGATATTAGCACTGAGCTCGTAAAGGCCGGTGGGGCACGCAATCTGAAGGACATTCGCTGCTAGATTCAGTCACTTCCTGTCTGAGAAATTTATCCATAGCAGCTACAAGGAATCGAGGACTGTTTTGCTCCATAAAAAAACAATAAACGATAAAGACGTGAAAAATTACCGCCCAATTTGCCTGTTCTTTCACGCACACAAGCTGTTCACGAGAATCATTATCGGCTGCCTCACATGGCCACTCGATTAGCAGCAGCCGGGGGGACAAGCCTGATTTCGAAGGTAATACAGCACTACAGAAGACCTTTTCACTCTAAACCAACTGCAAGAGGACGTTAGGGAGTTCGAATTAGCCTTAGGTTTCCTTTTCGTCGATTAAGAAAAGGCATTCGAGGGTGGAACTCAATGCTGTCCTGAAAGCTCTTGTGAATAACGGAATCGAGGAGAACTATTTCAAAATCATCAAAGAAGCGAATACACAATGGTATAGCGCTTTTCTCAAACCCAATTCATACGCCGATTGAGAAGGGCATGAGACAGAGCGATCCTTTTTCTTCAAAGCTTTTTAATGCCTGCCTCGAGATGGTGTTCCGCAAAATGAACTGGAAGGGCTGTGTGAACATCAACGACAAACAGCTCAATCATCTACGCTTATCGGAGGACGTGGTTCTCATCGCGAATAACGCTCGAGAAATGACCGAGATGCTGCAAGAGCTCAATGAACGAAGTAATGAAGTGGGCTACAAAATCAGCGCAACGCAAACGAAGGCGATGCAAAGTGTCTGCATGTTGAAGACCATTTTGCAGGTAGACAGCGTGGACTTTAAAGATGTCAACACCTATGTTTATTTGGGTCAAGAATTGAAGATGCGCCATGATGTTCTACGGAAAATTATACGTCGAAGTGCTGCCGGATGACGCAAGTTGCATAGCATCATCGATTTCCTCAAAGTATCAGACCACAAAGACCGTGCTCGTCTCTTCAACATCGTATGTTGAAGGCAATGACGTACGGATGCTAAACGTGGGCATGTGAGCACCGAAAAGAAAATGTATAGGCTGTAACAGAGTGAGAAATGGAACGAAGGATGTTTAGAATAGATCTTCGTGACCGTATCGACAACTCTCTTCAAGATGAGCTACGTGCAAGATATCGTGCGAGCCGTGCGAAAGAGTATAATCCCTTGCGCTGGTCATGTCGCACATCTAGATGACATGCAATGGACGTCGCGCATTACAAATGGTACCCGAGGAAAAGAGAGCGACCACTCAGGCGACCTCCGAAGAGATGGCGGATATACGTAGCAGAAATAGCGGGAAAGAACTGGATACAAGCCACAGAGGACGAAATGGCCTGGTACGATTGTGCTCAGCCTGTGGCAACATCGAGGAATCCATATGCCTCAGGAAGCCTGAGCCATCTTGAAAATTTAGATAAACACATTAAATAATGAATTAAGTTCATGAGTCCGCAATTAGTCCACGAGAATGGATATCGTTGCACTCTCGCGAACGACGTGCCATGGCTCTGTAAAGCTGAGATCACGGATGAATGCTATTCTACTCAGGTGCTGATTTCATAGAACGCGCTCGAACTGGCGTTGGTTTCCAGGTATACTAAGCCTGACAGGGCGATGCATTGAATGGAATCCTACCAACAAGAGTGACAATATCTAACTGAACTTAGAACAACTTGAATCTTTGATTTTATGACAGGTGTATGCGGTTGTTCGCAGGAATAATATTAGTCTTCACTCTAGAAGAAGAAGTAGCTCTGTGCAATGTTCAGACTACCGAATCAATCATTCGGATGGACAATTTCAATGCGCATATCATTGAAGACATTGAACGGTAAAAAATCGTGATTGGAAATAATGGTCCTGGGGGGGGGACAACAGAAACACCTGTAATGAGTTATTGCGATTTTGTGCAAACAACAAACTGCTTTTTATGGACAGTTTATTCGAGGATTGGAGCGTGCATCACTATTCCAATTATTTAAAGGGCACACATTGTGCGCACTGTACAGATAACAGATACAATACAGATCCGTTTAACATATCGTTTGAAATATGAAGGTTTGAAATGGATGTTCAAGTTGAGTGAAGGGCAGAGCTGTAGACAGATCATGACCTTGCTCTTGCCATGCTGGTGTTAATGATGGAGTTCCAACTTGGCACCTGGCGGAGAAAGGAATCATGGAATTAATTTAAAAATTCTGTTCTTTGCGGATACGATGAAAAAAACCTGTGAACAGTATTTGAACAGATCTGTGATTAAATTTGATGTGAAAATCAAGTATATGCTCTTTAGCAGCGACATGCAAGGGCTTCCGCTGAATGTCGCGATATACAGCTGGTTCGTCTGTTGCCTGATGGTCGCAAGCGAATTTCTTGGTTCAAACGAGAGGCTTAGATGGCGGTTATCCAGAAAAAGGCTGCATTCAAGAAATGGCTTCGAAGCAAGAGCGTTCAACTTTAACGCGGTACAAAGAAGTTCGCAAGGGAGCAGCGAAAACAATGGTAAAAAACGATAGCTTTCTCGTGGGAAAAATTTTGTGACATACTGAATAGCAAACGGAAAATTCAAATGGACGATCGGCCGTCTCCGAGATGGAAAGAATGGCTGTCAAAGGGTTCTAAGCCACGGACCAGTTGTAGTCGTCCTCTTGTCATGGATGAGGAGGTAGGCCACTCACTAGATTAACGGCCTTATTGCGTTGCGTTTAATAAAATGACATTTTTGCTTATTGTGTTACGACCAGCCCAGGAACAAAACTCTCGGTCTTTCGTGGCCTAGGGAATGAAGTGATTGCATCTACAAATATTTCCTATGACTTGCTTTTGTCGAAGGCTTGCTAACCATTGGTAATATAATTTTAGTGACAAACTAAATAAGCAAGTCAGAAATCAATTTTGGTTTAAGGTGGGACATTTGTAGTCAATCTGCGAAGAATTCTCTACCACCTGTTGAATACTGCTCTTCTTGGTAGCTACTACCGTTAATGTGGAGATTGCCAAAATTAGTTGATTAAGTGTTTATCAAGAAGCGAAGGTAAAATCTAGATTTACTTAAGGGACTACTTTTTCTACCTTCAACAAAGCAATGATCGACCAAACTACAGTCTTTAATGTACCAGGATGAAGATCTATATAGGTATATTGAAACTTTGATTATGATAGTATATATATTTTTTCTTAATGCTGTCAATCACTGAATCGAACAGTAGACTGTCCACAGCACAACAACGATGATAGTTGAAATCAAATTTTTGCCAGTAATAGTCTGGTTCATATTCCCCTTCACGTCGATAGTATGGAGATCAACCATATCCTGAGGTTAAGCATCCAATAGAAAATCTTTTTTTGTAGCGCAATTAAATTACATTAATGGGAAAGTTTCAGGGAAGGTTTTTTAAGAATCAACGCTGCATTTTACAACTATTGTTAATTGTCTCCTGACATTAGCACATCAGTCTCTGTAAAATGCAAATTGCCTGGAAAGAAACCAATGAACTCAACAATTCCTTCTGGACAATTATTGACTGCAATTCGAAGAATGTGAATTTCTCCATAATGCTAGATTTTTCGTTTGCTATCGAATGTGTAAAAGCTCAAAGCAGTTCGACAAGGCAGAATCGGTGAATTGTGATATCGAACAGTTGTTCTTATCACCCATTTCATTACACTTCATGCTATAATAGTTATATAGCTGCAGGTTCCAGCTGAGGCGTTAAAATAAATCCCCAAAACTGTTCATAACCTGGATGCACTGATAATTGATTAGCACCCGGTGACTTGCTCGAAGCGATGACAAGGATAAATTTATTTGACTCGTTTTTGTGCCTTTAACCATTAGATCAGAACACCCTCTGCTTCGAATACCACTTATGTTAATTTGGGCATTGAATTTATGAACCAAGCATTGAAAGCACGAACTTAGAAGATAGTCGAAACTGAATTCGAGAAAAGTCAATGAGAACTTGTTGCTCATTTTGGTGTAACAAGCCAGAAGAAGCCGTCTGGTTGATTGACGTTGTCGGGCGAAACAATGGCTAAAAATTTAGCCACTGTACTCGCAAATCCCTGAGAGCGAGAAGAGGATAATGAACTTTTCTCAGAATATCACCCAAATCTTAAAAACAAGAAGAGGATGAAAGGCTAATTCCGTAATTTTCAGTATAATATGACGATGGTCGGTCTGAAAATGAGAATAACGGAGCCCAATATATCATTTATGAGAGCAGAGTGTTTGAACGTTCTTTAAGTTAGTGCATTCTGAAATATATCAATAATTGCCACAAACAAAAATGTTGCAACATATTCAGTAAACAGTGTTTGTTAATGGGGGTTGGCTATTTCTGAAATAAAATATGTACAAGACAGGTGCTTCACACCATTATAGAAGGTAGCCAATTTTCCCGACAGTCAAAAAATCAACCTTTGCCAGCAGATCTCTTCAACGACCGGTCATGTTTGCATAAAACTGTTTGATTTAACTTTGGGGCAAAAAGCAAACAACCCTTACCTCTTTAATCAGTTTCACAAAAAATTGATAAGAAGTGTATATCACAAGAGATATTCAAAAATCAGAGGTAGTTATCATCGTTTCTCGACTTTCGTGTTTTCAATTTCGGCAGCGCGCAACAACGGCCAATGATATGGGATGAGCAATATGGCTGAGAGCAGCAGACTAATTCCTCCAACCATAAACGTATAAAAATAATTCTGGTCAAAAACGTCTGCTAGCCAACCACCAAACACAGGCATGACAATGCCGCCGATTCCTCTCACCAGCAACTCCAACCCGAATATGAAATCAAGGCGTTCCAAGCCGACGAGCTTCAGGACCACGCAAGGCATCAATGCGGTAACGACTCCGATCGAAACGCCACAGAATGCAATTATTACCAGATAACTCTTAAGCGCCCAAGTCCAACTAATGATGATTCGAGCGATGGCAAAAATAAGGGTGAAAAACGTATATGCAAACACGGGGTCAGCTTTGAACTTGGTGGTGACCGAGCTGGCCGAAAATCTGCCTACCACCACAAATATAGCTTGCAAGGAAACGACCAGGGCTATCTGGTCACCGTTGTACCCCTCGTGGTCAAGTCTCAAGGGCATCACCTCGTACGTGTAATGGCCGATGTGCCACAGGAAACTGCTCAACAGCAAGATTGGAACTACAAACCTGCCGAAGAATGGCAGCGGGCGCAACTCAGTCACTCGCACCTCCTTTTCGGAAATCGCCGTCACTTCGCCGCTGTACGTCTCCAACTCTTCCTGCGACGGAGACTTCGTCACCGGTGCTTCAGGTTCATTCGGACGAACAAGAAGAGAGCCAAACACAAACAGCTGCGCGGCAAAACACGACAC